AATACCAACCATGTGGTGCGCTTTGCCTTTAAATCTCTCAATACAAAAATGAAACCTTAAGTGATTGATATGTCTATTCTTAGATACTATGTACTGTAGGTCCATAATATTGTGTATAGTTCATTTTCACAAATTTGGTGCAGTGCAAACAAAATAAAAATGTGCTGTCCCTCCTTTGAGTGAAAAACGTATTCACCTTGTGATTAGACCTACAAATTCTGTAAATATAGATCAAGTGCGCTGTGTTAATCAGTGGTATTGTTTCAAACCAACTCATCCATCCAGACTCTCCTTGATGGCTCCAAATATGTGGGCAATGCACTCAAACAAAAAATATATATTTCATAGTGCAACACTAACAATTGAGTACTGTCCGTGATACTTTTTTTATTTGCACTAACATACAATTTTGAGGACAAGCTTTCAGGGTATGTCCCCTTCTTCAAAGTCCAAGCAGTACTATTACAAATCACAAAGTTTAAGCAGAATGTTAGAAGGGATGAATCGGCTACAATCACCTCAAGCATAGTGCAACACTGTATGACTATTATATTGTGAGCAACCTCAATACATACACTCACATAAGTGTTGTTAAAACTGTGCTCATTCTACCAAATTATTCTCTCATATAGATGGTGTCAATTCTCAAACAACACCTCAAAACGTGCTCAATATCCCATCACCACTAGGTGTAATGCATGCTCACCTTCTTGTTAGACCCATATAATCATAGGTCACAAACGTTTGATGTTCATCCAACTCGATATATTAGCTTCTACCTTTTAGCAGATACTTCACTCCTCCTGTCCCTTTAAGGGTCCGGTGTCTTGCTGTATCCACCCAGATAAGTATAGGCTCAAAGGGAGAAAGGATAATTCATAGTGCAACACCGTAAAGACATTAAATAATTTATTTATTACACTCACAGAGTAAAGACAAAAAGAAGGCTGATTCCCTTTACAAAAAAGGCACCTGCAGTCCCACTTCCGGTTTCCACGGTACCGGAAGTGACGTCCCTAGGCTCCTCTCAACGTGTTGCATCACTGCTTACGTGAGGAATCAGCCTTCTCTTTGTCCTTACTCTGTGAGTGTGAAATTTTAACTTCCACTTCAGATTTACACAGGAGGTCTGGTGCTAGAATTATTGCTCTAGATCTGACTTTCGCATTGATACCTCACGTGTGGTATGATCGCTGTTTAAGGCAAGCACAGGATGACGGGGGTGCTTTATAATTTTCTTTATTTGTACACTGTCCCTTTAATTTTTTTCATCATTTTTATTGCTATCACAAGGAAAGTAAACATTCCTTGTGATAGCAATAGGCAGTGACAGGTACTCTTTACTGAGAGATTTGGGACCTCAGATTTCTCCTCTCCCCCTAAAAGCTTCAGCTCATACCTAGCTTTTTTCAAACCATCAGTGGTTTGTTGACATCCAGCTTAACCAGAAGTGACAAAATACTTGTCGTTCTGGTATCTCAGACCATAAAGGTGATCAGGACTATTCTGGTTGTTCTGGCTGCACACTCAGACCTACTGATAGGATGCAGAAGGCGTCGGGAAGGGGGAACGTCCCCTCCTGCCATTTGTAAAAGCAATCCAGTGGCTAATTTGCCGCTAGGATTTCTTTTACAAGAAATCAACTGCTGCCTGAAATAACAATAGCGGTTGCAGGTATCATCCCGCTATAACCACTCAAAATCGGTCAACATATGGTACGTCACTTGGCATGAAGTAGTTAAAATATAGTAGTACATTGTCTCACTCTGCTCTGTACATGCTCTGTTGTACATGCACTGTCAAAATTCTAGAGGCCAATCTGCTGACAGCCTAATGATTTACTGCTGCTCAGGTGCTCTGGGTCTCAGCAAAATGGCAGCCTCCAGCAAGAAGAAACGGGAACAATGCTGGAGACAATTTACAGCACACACTAATTTTGGTAGTGTAATTATTAATGTGGAATGTATGTTCCTTGCTAAAGAACATTATTTTTTATCAATTTGGGTAAAGTTCAACTTTAAGTCTAGGAGTGGATTAATAAATTGTAATATTTAGCTTATCATTCGCTCTGGCAAGCTTCTTCCACACTGTGCCAGCAGTCCCTTGAAGCCTCTTCTCTAAGGCTTTCTGGCTGGTGGTCACACTCAGACATCATTACATACTGTACAATTCAGAATCAACAACCTGGTGCTTGGGAGAGATGATCAGTACACCAGAAGCTTGCCATAGCAAGGAATAAGCTAAGTGTCGGAGAACTGAGTGATCAAATGCCACTGATTGCTCAGCTCTTGGTCTTCAGCCTCCCTGCTCTGCCCCTCCAGTGCTCACTGGAGCGCCGAGCTGTGTAGGGGGTGGGAGCAGCTGGATCAGGATCTCAGTGGCTTCCTGAGAGGCTGAGTCAGCGTGCTGTTCAGACTTCTGGGTAGATCCTGACTTTAAAGATGGGATCTTTCAAGAGCATGGATTGGGCTAAAGTCCACCGTCTGCTGATATGGGTCACAGGAGTGCAGAATGAAGTTCACTCCTATGATCCATAGGAGAAGTAGGGTCAAAGAGCTTTCACCCTACTTCTCCTTTAAACCTGTCAATGTGGATGGGTCTCACTGCAAGAGTGTTTTTTTTGTGTGTAATTCTTGGCGTTCAGCTTTAAAGGGAAGCTGAGTTGATATATTTTGGCTATATACCACTAAATGTTCAGATTATATTTGAATAAAGCCCATTTAGTTGAGATACACAACACCTTTTCTCTTTTTAATGTGGAATGTAAGACAGTGATTGAGTGCGTTATCCAATCAGCTAGTAAATACAATCTTGCAAATTGGCTGCAGACAGCTTTTATATAAGAAAAAAATCTACCACTGTGAAGTCTGGCAGTCATATATGGTATATATATATATATATATATATATATATATATATATATATATATATATATATATATAAATATATATTTTGAAATATATTGAATATGGCCAAAATTGTAGTATTTCAAATATATGTCAATATTACATATATTATAATAATATTATAATATTATTATATTTTTACAATATACTTCAAATATATTTTTCTTTCATGTGCAAACCCCCTACCCACCTCCCATTGCTGCCCCTTTTATAGAATACAGACCCAGGTATCATTTTGTGATGCTAAGTAATTTGTATGGAATTTGGTAATGATAGCAAGAAAAGCAGTAAAACAGATCCCCTGCAGCCAGCAACAGTACATACCCCCCAGCAACAGCAGACCTTCCCACCAACAATGGACCCCCCATAGCAAAATACCCTTCCAGCAACAATAAATTCCTCCCAGCAACAATTGACTACCCAGAAACATAAGACCCATCTCAGCAACAATAGACCTCCCCAGCAACAATAGACCCCCCTCTGCAAAAATAGATCTTCTCCAGCAACAATAGATTCCTTAGCAGCCAGCATCAATAATCGTCTCCAGCACACCCCAGCACCCCTTGCAATTACATACATCCAATGCTGGAGCTGCTGGAACTGTGTTCCCGTAGAAAAAAAGCCCTGAATGTGACTATGTCAAAATATTAATACCTGGATCTCTTTTTTTTTAGAACTATACATCAATATATCTAATTTTCTCTGTCTTAAAAAAGAACAGAAAAATCTCTTTCCAAGTTTCATAATAATAAGGTCATCCTTACACAACAAGATATGTAGATCTAGCATCTTACATTATGAAAGAGGCAGAATATGTCTCCTGGGACAGTGCAGTGCCCTAGATTCATATACTCATGTAGACATATCAAGCAGAAGTAGCTTTATTATGGCAATTGAAAAAGATTCAAACATTCCTGTTTCATGTACTAAAGGGCTTACTAGCAAAGATGTTGTGTATGAAAATTTATGTGAATGAAAAGAATAAACAGGTATACAATTACTAGATATAGAGCATGGGTGGTTGGTATTGATATAGCAATGACATTTTACACAACACTTTACATATTGTGCATTCACACAGTGGGATATGAACCAAACACCCCAGTGCTACAAGGCAGGCATGCCAAGTGGAAACATCTGCATTTACATGAACCCTCTGTTTAGTCAAGTCAGTCCTAAATTGCTGCTCAGAGAGTGGAGATATCAAACTGATTCAAGTTCAATTTATTCAAATGGAAAATCTGATATTTCTGATTGCTGTCAGAAAGCAAGAATCTGATTTGTGGCTGTAGGTAACTCAGACTAGATCTTATTTCTGACCCTTGTTGTAAAACAGGAATACTTTCTTGGTAATCTATGATAGAAATGAGTATCAGTCTTCAGTTATGTTTTTCAGCTTGATCATGATTAAGGTGATATTAAAGGTAGATTTTTTTTGTCAAAAAACAAACATGTCTATACATACCTGCTTTATGCAGTGGTTTTGCACAGAGTAGCCCTGATCCTCCTCTTTTCATTTACCCCACTGGTGCTCCTAGCCTCTCCCTCCTGGCGAGTGCCCACAGAGCAAGCGGCTCGCTATGGGGGCACCCAAGCAGGCTTGTTACTGAGCTACTGCTCTGTGTGTCCATTCACACACAGAGCCACAGCTCCTCCTCATTGGCTGTGACTGACAGTAGCGGGAGCCAATGGCTCCCACTGCTGTCTCAGTCAATGGGGAGGGAGAGTCCTCGGAGAGCTGAGGCTCTTGTGCACATCACTGGATTGTGATGGGGCTCAAGTAAGTATTATGGGGGCTGGGGGGACTGCTGCACACAGAAAGGTTATAGAATGCATGAAGTTAAAAACCTTGAGCCATTTTCTAGGATTAGGGCTTACATGTCTCTGGGTATAGGTCTTGATATATAGGAGGAAAAGTGACTGCTTACTGAGTATAGCAATCTACCAGTCAATGACAGGACCCAGCATGATGGTTCCTGAAAGCATCCAGCATGACGGTTTCACCTCTCATAGCGAATTAATCATAACCAGGGGCATACCCATAAAGGCTGTAAAAGCAATCATTTCTCCTTCTCTCTGGCTGCATTCTTGCAGCCATTGAGAAATACTGTGTGAGCTGTGATTGGTCACAGCTTGCCACATAGTCTGTTGTGAATAGCCCTGTACCATGTGACCTCTGTAATCATTCACAGATTTCACACTTAGGTGTTCTTTTATGACAAAGAGAATAGCTGTGATTCAGAGGATCACAGCTATTCTCTGGTCATTCACAGTTTATAATACTCAGGAGAAAATGTTCAGCCCTTCACTGGAGATCTGTGTTCTCCCTCCAGATTCTCCAGCCCAGAGCTGGAGAATCGGAGGGAACGCAAACTAAGGAGAGATAATTTACCTCTGCTTAGTAAACTGATCTTTTACTGTAATCTTGCGAGATTATAGTAAAATCAGCCGTTTTCCAGCGTTTTTAGACCGTTCTCCAGAGTTTGGAGAACTGATCTACATATGCTTCATAAACGGCATTCACAGGAGAACTGTGTTCTCCGAGAATGCCGGAGAACTGAGCAACGATCTATTACTGCTGGTTCATAAATGGACACCTTAGTAAGCAATGATGTCAGAAGTGATTACTACTTACTACTATTCATGTGATCACTGATTGGCCAATCAGTGATCACATGATCGGGACCTCACACAGAGGTCCTGTACAACGGTCGGTGTTCTGTTGTGTCCGGAGGACACAGCGGGCACTGGATTGCGGTGCTGCGTGCTCCCGGGAGCGCACACAAGCAGGGAAGAGGGGAGAACATTTATAAACGGCCACCTGCCCTGCACTGCTCCCATCCGTCCCGTTTATATACATGGGCCGGATGGGAAATGGTTAAAAAAACAGCAAAAAATAATTAAGAAAATATTGTTGAAAAAAAATATAAATAAAAAAAAGGTAAAAAATAACAAAAATAAAAAACTACTGACACCAGTGGCAGAACTACCAGGGTCACAAAGGCGGCACTTGCGAGCTCAAAGGAGTCAAGAGAGCCCATCATGGATTCTTGCTCCGGGGCCCTGAAGGTTTTAGTTATGTCTTTGATCATAACACTTTGAAGTTTTTTAAAATCACAAACAAAAATATGTCACTACAGAATACAGCTATTTCAAAATGGATTGCATTGTTGAAAACCTACGTATCCATGTCAAGAGGTATGTGAGATTAAGCATAAAACACCAATACTTCATAAACAGTAGCTTCAATAAAAAACATTGTTCCAGTAAAGGTAGCACCATTGCCTCTCTGAGTACTGCATTACATATTTCCTCAGCACTTGACAACTCAGTTATTATTCAGGAGGTTAGGGGATTATTAGTGTATGCAAGAGTAATGTGAACTAAGTCAATTCTACGTGATTTTCCCTTACGGACAATAATGGGGGGATCTGCCTGATGTTCTCCTAGTAGTGAATAAAGGAAAAGTAGCAAGATGCTCATTAAATTTTTAAGCCACAAAAGGTGAACATTCACTAAAAGAATACAAAACAGATGAACTTCCCTAGAGTTTTTTTTTTTTTTGCAAGCTAGCAGGCAGGACCTAGTTATTAAACTTGTCATGCTAAATGCAGAGTTCTCAATTGCAAACATATTCCAAAGACAGACACCATGATCAAAGTGATTCTGCAATTGTGGCTGCACCCTAATTGATAGGAGTACAGTATTGGGACATTGATAGAAATGACTAATTGTATGCATCTGAAAGCAAAGTTTATGTTATATTTTATTGTATGTTACTTTTGTTAATTTTAAAATTGGACCCATTTTCAGATTAACAGAAATTAATATGGACAAATGAATGTGTGTGTATTTTTGTAATGTGTATTTTTAACATTTCTACTAATTTACTTCTATGATATGCATGTTTTCTGGGTATACATTAATGAGCTGCATGTCGCCTTTTTCTTTGCAGTTTTAGCATACAGTTTACATTACTATTAGTATTCTGAAACTGAGATAATTGCTTTGATTTTTATTCTCGAATGTGTTAAATTATATATTTTTTAATATATTCTAAGATAGCAAAATTAAGGGTGGTGAAATTTGTTGTTTTTTTTCACTGAACAGTAAATGTGCATGTCACGGGGTGTCATGAGGGGATCTAAACATTTATTTCGAAACACATTTTTATATGTATGACTATTTTTAGTCTTCAGATTCCTTCTGTATGAGTTTTGTGTGCTGTGTGTTGCAATTCAGAAAGACTTCCTAGAATTAGACTAATCAAAGCTGATATGTGATATTGAAATAATGGAGAATGATTAGCATTAGTTGTCTGTAGTGAAAGATGATCTAGAAGTCATTGTTGGCTTTGTGCAACTGTAGTTGTTTGATAATTTCAGTAATTTGTCTGTTTAGCTTGTGTTGTGCAAGAGAATAACTACGGATGGTTATTGGTTACATGCTGAGCTGTTTTTTGTTTCTTAAAGCACTAATAAAAGTACTGTCCGTGGTCTGGAAAGAACTACCACATATGTAAAAACCTTTATCCGCCATTTGACTTGTTAAAGCATTTAAAAAAAAAGCAACCCAGGACACCTAAAGCAGAAAAAATGTAACTTCCCTGGCTTTATTCCTTGACTAGTCCAGCTAAAGTAAACTTTAATCGGATTAATTGCTATGAATTATTATACTTTGGGTTTGTATGGCCTTGCAGTTGGGCAGAATTGTTGGATTCTATGTAATTTCCTGCCAATAGGGGACCCAAAAGTTAATGTCAAGTAGGATGTAATTTAGCTTGGCAGCATTTACATGCACTCTCCTTCCTTCTACATATCAATCAAATAGCTCTAGTGGTTGATTGGGATCTATGTAAAGGGGACAAGAGGTTGAGATGTTACAGTACTAAGGCCCCAAGGGTTTTGTAGCTTGTATCTCAAACCTCAAAAATGGTCAACATGCAAAAACCTATTGTTCTCAATAGCCCTTGTCCACATCTGAACAAAACATCGATTGCTCATAAAAAGCACATTAGCTACTCTTCACATTTGAGCGTTTTTCTCCCCATAGACTTCAATGGAAATGCCTGAAAAGTGTGACATGAGCTTTTTTCGAGCTTCTTCTTGAGCATTATGTCATGCGTTTTCTGCTCAAACAGCAGCACTCCACACCTTTTAGTTGAAAAATACCTGAAAAACACCTGACAAAAGCTGCAAAACCATGCAATTCTGCTCCATAAAAAAAAAAAAATGAAAACATAACACTTAGGTGTGAATGCAGCCTAAAGAGTGAAAGGAAGTCCACAAAAAGGCTGCCCCCAATAAACATTTATACATGTACACATATAATCCAGTATCTATATACTAATGGTTAGTTTTATAGTTTATAGTTCTTTTTGTAGGGGAACTAGCACCAAAAACAATATAAAACACATAATTCTACTATTTAACCTTACTCTTTAAAAGAGAAGTATGGGCTATAAAAAAACCCAAAACATTTATACTCACCTAGGTGGATGAGGCATCGTCCTGATGCTACATCTGTCCCCTGCCAGCTCTGCAGTGAGCACCAAGCAATCAAACACCGCTGATCTGCTCTGAGCAGGGAGACGTGACTGTCAGTCATCGGCTCTCTGCTCTACCCCCCAGCCAGCACTCACTGGAGCGCAGGGCTGTGGAAGAGGAGGGAATGAGAGCCTTAGCCAGGTTCCAGTCCAGGCATCTGGGTGGATCCATATGGTTGGGATATTTTCAGAGCCTGGACCAGCTCTGTGGTGTCAGCTGAAAGTGGGTCACAGGATGCAGAACAAACTGCACTCCTGAGATCCATAGGAGAAGTGTAGCCAAAAAAGCCAAAGTGTAGCCAAAACTTGAAAACCTAAGCCTAACACTTAACCCTTAATCTTAACGATTAATTTGAATCTGACTATACTGGATTTTGTTTTAGCTAGTTTTTCCCTCATCAACATAATGACATTTTGACCAGGTCATTTTGGTTGGCAATTGCTTGGTCATGCAACACTGTTTTCAAATGAAATTTTTAGCATTTTTTTACACAGCTAGAGGTTTCTTTTGGTGATATTTAATTGCCACTGGGTCATTTATTTTTTGTTATATAAACGAAAAAATACTGAAAAGCTTCTGTTCTTCATAAATTTAGGCCAAAATGTTTTCTGCTACATTTCTTTGGTAAAAATAACCTAAATCAGTGTATATTATTGAATCTGTGTGAAAACTATAAAGTCTATAAACTATGGTATATATATTTGTAAATGTATCAATCCTGATGTACAGATGGCCTATCTCATTTCTTTAGGCCCTAAAATGCCAGGACAGTAAAAATACCCCTCAAATTACCCCTTTTTGGAAAACAGACAGTCCAAGGTATATAGTAAGAGGCATAGCACGTTTTTTGAAGCTGTAATTTTTTGTCACAATTTTTTGGAATATAAAGAAATAAAATAAAATTAGTTTTTCATACCATCAGTAGTGCAGTACAGTATCATCATAAGACTGGTGTGGTAGTGATCAGGGATACTGATACTGATTAAATCTTTTTTTATTAAATTTTTTTTAAATGTTTTTGGGTTTTTTTTTTATAATTTTTTTTGGGGGAGGGGGGGAATTAATGCAAAGCATTCTCTGATTGGACAAGGTGGAGAGTCAGGGTGCACTCCACCTTGTGTAGTCAGAGAAAGCTTTACATTTATTTAGAACAGTGGCCTCCAAACTGTGGCCCACGGGCCTTTATCCGGCCCTTGGGGCACTGCTCCTTCCACTAATACAAGGCTTTGTTACTCCCACTGATATCAGGCATTATTCCTTCCACAGACACCAACAATAGGGAACTATTCCTTCCACTGACATCAATGATGGGACATTATTTATTCCACTGACACCAACAATGGGGCCCTATTCCTCCAAATCATACCCTATCCCCCCTCCTACTAACCACCGATTCTGAGACATTTTCTACCCCCTACTGATGCTGGGGCATTTTCTATTCTCACTGACTACAATCCAGCCCCCCTAAGGTCTGAAGGACAGTAATCTGTCCCATTATTTATAAAGTTTGGCGACCTCTGATTTATAAATTGCAAAGCATTCTCTAATATTTGCATTTGCCAAGCATTTGACCTCCTGCGGGGCAGCCGTTGCCCAGAAGCAAGTGTAGCAGCGTCTACTTCAGTGATTTCCAGCTTCCAGGGGCATTTGCTAGGTATGGTTGATGCATAGTAACTTTGGTCCACATTGAACCAATGTCACTATGCATAAAATTTGCTATACTTGGAATTCATCTTTAACTCTAAAGCAACGGTATGGCGCTACAACAGCGATACTGTTAATATGTGTGTGTGTATTTATATATATATATATATATATATATATATATGGCTAAATGGTTAGCACTTCCTCCTGGTAGTACTAGGGTCATCGGTTCAAATCCCAACCACAGCACCACCTGCCTGGAGTTTGCATGTTCTCCCTGTGCCTGGGTGGGTTTCCTCCAGGTACTCCGGTTTCCTCCCACACTCCAAAGACATGCTGGTAGGTTAATTGGCTCCTGTCTAAATTGTCCCTAGTATGTATGAATGTACGTTAGGGACTTTAGATTGTACGCCCCTAGAGGGTTAGGGACTGATGTGAATGTACAATATGTATGTAAAGTGCTGCGTAAATTGACTACGCTATATAAGTACCTGAAATAAATAAATATATATAAAACATTTTTTCCCGGCAGCCTTTGCATTTTATGAATTTCCAAGAGAGTATGGCATGACACCAGCACTGGTATCTGTGTGACCTGTGGTGTGCATTTCTGGTGTGGGCTGAAGTAGCAGTTGGGACCTGGAGTCCAGAGCCTTGGTAGAGATTTGGAAGGAATGAAGTCTAAAATCCTG